TTTTTTTATAGGGTTATTATACGAAATGTTCCCTAAGATTGAAAATCGATAGAAATGGTCCATGAGATTGTCCACCATCCATGATTTTAGTTATTCCGTTAAAAACTCTTTGGACAATTTTCAAAACTTCGTAACTCAATTGATTTTTAACCAAATTCGACCCATAATATATCAAAATAGAGATAAGAAAGTGTAGAATAAGATTATGCCTCTTTGGAAGCCCAATGATTGCCGGTGATGGTCAGAAAATAGCCTGAAAAGTGACTGGTCCGTGGGAAAACTGGAAAACTCGCCAGAAATTGGGTAAACTTTAAACGTTCATAACTTCTTCAATACTCAACGAAATCGAGTGATTCAAAAATGAAAATCATACTTCTCGACGAGAGGAAGAGAATGGTATCTTTTTTTTTTTTTTTTACTGCTAACTCACCATGATTTGGCAGGAAAACTGCTTAAAAGTGGCTAATTCGAAAATGGTTAGCCATTTTTGAGCTGTTGTCTGACCAAACCATGGCGAGTTAGCATTCGAAAAATGTATCATTCTCTTCGTCCCATAAAGAAGTATTATTTTTTTTTTGAATCACTCGATTTGGTTGAGTATTGGAAAGGCTCTGAACGTTTAAAGTTTTCCCAGTTTCCGGCGAGTTTTCCAGTTTTCCTGTAGACTGGTCATCTCCGGCAACCATTGGGCTTTCAAATAGGTATAATCTTATTCTACACTTTCCTATCTTCATTTTGATATATTATGGGTCGAATTGGTTAAGAAATGATTGAATTACAAAGCTTTGAAAATTGCCCAAAATCTTTTTTAACTGAAGGACCAAAATCACGAAAGGTGGACAATCTCGGGGACTATTTCTATCGTTTTTAATAATTTTTTAATAATTTAAATTATGACTGACGTCACCCTTGCATCACATAGGCCAGGCACTGAGCTAGACAATTATTGCCTTACTTTTCCATCGGGCTTGCCTTGAGCCCAATTGCCTGAGTGGACTGGAGTGTTTTTGGGATAGAAGGAGTGGATTGAGTTGCCTATACCCAAGACAATTAACAACGGTGGAGTTGCACTTAAAGGATTGAGTTGCCTATTCCCTAAGAAAGTCTTCCTACACTGGAAGTGCTCTAAAAAATGGAGAGAGAGAGAGAGAGAGAGGTGGAAGCGCGAAGTCATACGAATTTCAAAGGCGAAGAGATAGTGACCGCCTTTTTTTTTTTGTCAACAGACGACTGTTGGTGGTAGTAGAAGAGATCTAAACCGTCTATATGGATTCGAAAAGTTCCGCTTTAATGCTTGAAATAAATGGTTATTTAACTCAAATGCTCTGGTTTCCAAAAAAAAAAAAATCCTTTAAATTATATATATATATTTAAAAAAAAAACCCTCTTTAAAGTTCCGCTTTAGTGCAATTTTTGTTGTTGTTGTTGTTGTACATATCAATGTACAAAGAGTTGGATATCAAATAACTCTAGGGCTCCAATTAAAAGAGTCGCCTAGGGGTCCTAAATTCTCAGGGCCGACCTTACTTCTTTGTTCCAGATAACAACTCCAACACCCTTAGGTTTTTGTGACTCTCTACATGCACCATCAACGTTAATCTCAAGGAAACCAAGCGGTGGTCTGGACCACTTGCGACTTTGATGGGCACGAGGGGCCACGGTGTAGGCCGACTGTGAACTCTGCCACCAGCAAATGGTGTGGGCAACGATCATATCCGGTGTTTTTAATTTTCCTTTCTTAAGTTTCTGATTGCGAGCCTTCCTAATAGCCCACCAGACTATGAGTCATAAATCAAATTGGGTGTGGTTAAGATGGTAAACTAAAAATAGAGCCCAATCCTGCATAGAATTTAGGTTAGGGTCAGTTAGAGGTTTCCTAATAATTGTAGACAACCAAGCACATGAAGAAAAACAACAATCCATCACCAAATGCAATGTGGACTCATCATTGCCATTACACAACACACTGCTGGTCAATGCCAACATGTCTTGAGGCAAAAGATCCATGGATGGGGACAATATCACTGCAAATCCTCCAGACCCCAACTTTTACCTTTGGGGGAACCCGAGCAGACCAAATCCTTTTCCAAATCCCAGCATAAGCGTTGAGCCCGGCGGAGAAATAGGCTCGACTCGAATTATCCATTAGAACGCTGCAAGCAACGTGATACACTTTTAATCGTGAAACGTCCCCCGTTATCATAATGCTAGATAAACTTATCGTCGAGGCATCTCCAACTTTAGGACATATATATATATATATATATATGATAGCTTGGAACTCGACATCCGTAAATAAAGACTTGATAATGGAACCTTCCATTGGTGCGACTGTCTGAAGAGTTTGTCTTGTGTTGTGTTGTTTTTTTCTTTTCTTTTTGCTGGCATGGTTTTCTTTGTTTGCCTCACAAAGAACTATGAGGACATGTTCGTGAAGTCTCATAGCAGGATTTCTTTGTCGAAAAAGCATCGTCTTGTGCAAGTTCATCAGAAAGTGATGAAAGGTTTTGTCCTCATGAGTGTTATCTTTCTATCTAGTGAGATGTATGTGGGATAGATTTTGTATTATCTTTTTGTTGCGTTTATAATCATATCATTGTATTCCTGATATATAATGTTCTTCGTTTTATTTAATTAATGAAATACTTATTACCTTAAAAGAAATTCCTCATCCAAACATAATGTCATGAATTTTTTTTTTCAAACTTCAATTGTAATATTAAGGGATACCTACAAAATGGTCATCTTTGCAAAATCTTTACTTAGTAAAACTCTTTTTAATAATGAACATTGATATGAAAATTCTAGACAATTCTTTACCAATTGGTCATCTTTTACCAATCATTTTATTCTTTACCAAATAGTCATCTTCTACCAATCATTTTTCCTTGTATGTAACGGTGTATAAGTTGTATCTACTCTACAAATTCATGTACCCAAGTTGGCCCGGTTAGGTATATTTTCCATTTTTCCTACTCAAAATTTAAAATCCTTTGTGTTTTTACATTTACCATAAGGACTATTATGTTTGTTGAAAATTCTGTAACAGTTTGTATTGGAAGGATGAATTCGATCAGGCATGCCGACAAAATTACAAACAGATTTATTTACATGCATGTAGAGACGATCTAGGTATGTTGCATATGGTACGTTAATATTCAAATACAATTTTTATAGAAATTATTATGCCATAGCTATTTTTTGTAAATAAATAAAAATGAAAGAAATCCCATTTATCTCTCTCGCCCAATCATTAGTTTGCTACTGAATACAGAAAAAAAAATGTGTGTATCAGAAGGTGATTGAGAATTAGAAGGTGATAATAAAGAGAGAAAAGAAATTTATATATGGGGATAGTGATTGAGAATTATCTCAACCGAGTCATAACGATCAACTAAAATAACCGAGTAACCAGAAATTCAAATAAATGACTTTTTGTCATGTTGAAGTTTTCACTAAACCCAAGAAAGATTTACAATTTATTGCGAAAATACTATCCAATAGTCAATTAACTGAAATAATGAACAACTTTTTCTCTTGACATTTTTTGTTGGATACTAATAACGATCAACTAAAATAACGAAATAACTAATAACGATCAACTAAAATAGCGGAGTAACAATTATTATTGATTAACGATGTAATTCATCTCTAGTTAGACCATTACATTCAAGTGGTTAGGTCTTGAAGCTTTCATGAAAATAACCTAGCTAGGTTAATGTACGCGACCCTTATTGTTCCATATGCACTCTAGTAAGCCACAGAATTAAAGTGGAATACTATCCGGCTTCTAATTTCTTTTTATCACGAAATGGTAATAAAATTTATCCAACAAAAGGCAGTAGTCACTGAGAGGCGCGTAGTGTGACAGTGTGTCTCAGAGTGAGGCTCTAATTCTGGCTGTAACCGTACAACCAAAGATTGCCAACTCGTCGTGTCTCGTCTGGCCAGAAACCACCGTTCATGCACTTTGCTATTTACCAAATGAGTCCAAATTCCCTTAAATGTCTCAAATCATCCTCATCTGCAAGCTTTCACTCTGTGTATAAAAACCCCTCTTCCCTTCACTTGTTCAGACATACGAGAGAGAGAGAGAGAGAGAGAGAGAGAGAGAGGGAGGGAGAAACAAGTTATACAATAGCGGACCACTGGAGCCATTTGGTATAGCATCTTTCCTTAACTCTAGTTTTTTTTATTTTTTTTTTATTTTATTTATATATTTCAACTTATGTTTATATGTCATCATATCCAATTCCGATGATCTGTATGTGCTGATCCTTTCTATATGTTCGATGCTTCTGTGTTAACTAGAGGGATTAGTTTAATGGAGGATTGGTGGGGCTAGATAAAGATAGATTAGGGTTTTAAATTGGGTAGAAAACATCAAAAGAAAGGCTTCTAGATTTTAGTCTCACTTTGGATTGCGAAGGGCCGAGGGTAACGGCCGGGAAGAACAAATCTACTAAGGGCATAGATAAACTCATCCTCATCAGTAACCTTTCACTCTTCCCTTCACTTGGTTCAGACACACGAGTTAAGAGAGAAAGAGGGAGCGAGGGAGGCTTATACAATAGGGGCACTTCTCGGGCCTTTTGGTATAACATTTTTCCTTAACTTTAGATTTTGATGTATATATCTTTTATGTTTGTATATCATCACATTCTAGACCTACTTGCATGAGATAGCATTACTCTTTTTAGCCCAAAAAAGTTGCATTAATCTGATTTCAATAAGGCTTTATTTTTACCACTCAATTGTGTTCAAATCAAGTGTAGAAGCTCTATGGAACAATTTCACTAGGGCTTTGTGTCGTCTTGTTAAGAATCCTTGCGAGTTTAAATTCTTACTGCGTATTATATAATTTCTTGAGCCGATTCTTAGTGTTTTTACTTTTGAATTGAATTCTCTAACTCTTACAGTTTTGTACTCTATGCCCTAAGAAAATCTAAGTTCTTGTTCATTCCATACCCTTCTCCTAACCAGATGCAGCCATGAAAACAATGTGTGAGATATTATCAGCTGGCGCCAGTGAATCCAAAGGAAACTCTTCTCCAAGAAAGTGCACCAACACCGATCGCATCAGTGCATTGCCGGATCATATTCGTCATTCCATTACCTCATTACTGAGTATAAAGGATGCCATACGCACTAGCACATTATCCCACAAATGGAGAAGAACCTATGCTTACAAGTCAAGCCTCGAGTTTAATTGGCATGACTTAATTCCAAACCCGGCCAACGAAGCTCCTTTAGGAACAGTTTTAAGGGCAAATGTGAAGCAGTTCCAAGAAAAAATAGATAAATTCATATCATGTTATTTGGGGACGAAGATTGAATCGTTCAAGGTTCACTGTCAATTTGGAAGTAGGCATGCGCTTAAAATCAACGGCTGGGTGGACTTTGCTGTTTCAAAGGATGTTGAAGATCTTGACCTAGCTTTTACTTGTGATGAGGTGCTCTCTAAACGTACTAATGATGTTTGGGAAGCCATAGACTACTATGATTTCCCTACTCATATGCTTTTGAGTGGTGAAGAACCAAAATTTATCAGGCATCTGTCCTTGCGGACGTGCACCCTCCGGTCAGATATTTTTACCAGACGGTTTAACGCCCTAACAAATCTTGTGCTGTCGGATTGTAAGTTCATCGGAGGTGTAGAGCCGCTTGACTTTTTATCTGGGCCAAACCTTGAGTTTCTGAAACTGGACTACTGTAAGGGATTGGGAAGTCTACTGCGCTTTGACTCACTTCACCGTTTGAAGACCCTAACGGTGACCATGTGTGACGGCTTGAAGAGGATTGAGGTAACCAATGCCCCCAGTCTCACCTTTTTTCGTTGTCACGGCGATGGAAATGTAAAGCTCACTTTGGATGTGGTTCCCAATTTGCAAGAAATGTATGTTGTTTTGGACGGAATCGATGTGATTGAAAGCTTTCTTAAGTTGGAGAGAGAAGTTCCTCATGTCCCTTTCCTTGGAGTTGGCAAACCTATGCACAACTACCTTCGACCGGTTTAGGGCTATTACATTTTCCTTTTTATGACTAAGTGTGTGGAGTTTAAGGGAATTACATTTTCCTTTTTATGATTAACTGTTTACAATTGAGGTCTATTGAGCTTCGTTATGTTTCTTGTGATTGTAATAAGGATGCCCAGTTAGTGGCGTGGTTTGTGTTTAAGGAGGGTGGCTCTTATAGTTGGTTTGAGTTTGAGTCGGAGTGGTTATTCAATATTCTGACGGCAGATGTAAACGTTTCCGTTCATATTTAATGAAATTTCTATCATTGAAAAAATATAATATATATATATATATATATATATATATAGAGTGAGAAGGATAAAAAGGTGAAACATTCCAAATGCCACAAAATACCCTCATTTAAAAAAAAAAAAAAACTATAGGACTGTCCCAATATAATACGGTTAAATGGTAATACACAAATATAATAGGGTTAAAATTGTCATACAAAAAATAAAATATTGAGAGATGTTTAGATGCAGACAATATATATGCACATAGCATGAATGACAATTTACAACCATTAAACGCAAGGCACTAACACACGGGGGACGAGCTCCCAAGGCGGTGGCGGCTGGCCTGAAACAACCGCACGATTGCCATGACACACTTATTTTGGAATTGCTGTGGTCTTGGGTCGAACACGGTAATTTGGGCCCTGCATGGGCTTATTAGAAAATACAGACCCTCTATGATCTTTCTTTCAGAAACTAAAATGAAGGACCATAGAATTGACGGGTACGCAGAAGAATGGGATTCTCTGGTTGATTCAATGTATCTCCTATTGGCAGGGCTAATGGTCTCAATCTATGGTGGGATGATTTGATGGAGGTTGATATCACCTTTTTATCAAAACATATAATTGATGCTCGAGTTCGGGGTGTGGGAGACGCTAGGTGGGAAGGTGACTGGAGTCTATGGCACATCTTATCAGGGGGAAAAAGGAAGACTTTTGGGATTGGATGAACTCTCACTTTAAGCCTTCGGACACTCCTTAGTTATGTGCGGGTGACTTTAACGAATTCATTTGGGAGTTTGAAAAATCTAGAAGGGTTGCGGTCCTTTATAACCAACCTCGATACTTGGCAAACTTTATGGAGGCCACGGAGCTCATGGACCTCGACTTTAATGGGCCACCATTTATATGGCGCGAGAATAGAAATGGGGAGTTGGTGGATGAGCAGATTGGCTGAGGACTTTGTAATCAACTCTGGTAGGCTTCTTGGCCAAACACCTCTGTCACCCATGGTGCGGTCGTGGGATTAGACCACTGCCCGATCATTATCCATTGTAAGCCGAGTTTGAGAAAAGGTAGAAAACTGTTCCATTTTAAAACTTTTTAGGCCAAAAAGGAGGAATGCAGAAGGTTAGTCGAAGCGTGCTGGAATAGCCCATGCAATGGGGACGAGATAACTAGATGGTAGAAATGGATAAACGATTGTACATTTCGACTCATCAAATGTTGTACATCTCAACTCATCAAATGTCGTAATGGAAAGTTCAAAATGTGAGCTAGAGAAATTAAGACATTGATGGACCAACTCGAGGAGCTCCAAATGAATTGAGGGCCAAATGCGGTTGAAATTTAGGTTAATACTATAGAGGTTGATAGGCTTCGGGAACAAGAAGAGAACTTCTGGAAACAACAGTCTTGGGTTAAATAGCTCCGTGAAGGTGATGCCAATATCGCGTTCTTTCATCAATCTACTTTGCAAAAAGAAGGAACAAAGTGGAGAAGATAAAGACGGAAGACGGAGTATATGAGGAGAACCCAAGCCGTGTGAATTAGTTGATTGATGACTACTTTATCAAGCTTTTTACATTGTCAGGGCAGAGAGACTGGGGGCAGGTTTTTGGAATGCATCACCCTAGCAGTCACTGATGTTATGAATCAATCACTGCTAATGCTGATCACGGAGGAGGAAATCAGAGAGGCTGCTTGGCAAATGGGCGGCCTAAGAGCCTCGGGACTGGATGGTTTCAAGGAGTTTTTTACCATTCATTTTGGGACAATATTGTAAAATAAGTTAATAAGCTTGTCTTGTTCTTAACGACTGGTGATACCTGTCCTCGACAACTCAATGCGACTCACATCGTGTTGATCCTAAAAGTCTCGAACTTGGAGTCGGTCTCTCAATTCCGGCCTATTAGTTTATGCAACTTTTCCTACAAAGTACTCTCCAAGGGTTTAACTAATAAACTAAAACCTTTACTTCTGAGTCTTATTTCTCCCATGTAGAATGCGTTTGTTGGGGGACGACAAATCCAAGACAACATTGGGATTATGCATGAGTTATTCCACTTCCTTAAGCTTAGAAAAACGAAGTGCAAGTTCGAACTTGGCATCAAGCTTGATATGCACAAAATATATGACCGTGTGGAAATGGACTTCGTAATGGAGAAGATGAGGTTTCACCTTTGCTGGCGGAGGCTTATCATGGGGTGTGTGAGTTCGGTTAATTTTGCTATGATCCTCAACGATTGCTCATTCGAGAGGTTTAAGGCAAGGTGACTCGCTCTCCCCGTATTTGTTTCTGATGGTCAATGATGTTTTGTCAAAGATGATTAGTAGAACCATTGATACCAAGTAGCTGCAGAGGGTTTGGATGAGCACTCATGGCCCGTCCATATCCCATATTTTCTTTGCTGATGACACCCTAATCTTTTTGAAAGCTAACAAGGTGAACTGCCATAACTTGGGTCGATTATTTAAGACTTGCTGCTCAACTTCTGGCCAGGCGGTGAATCTTTAGAAATTGTGTGTATTTTTTAGTGCCAATGCCCCTATGGAAGTTGCGTAGGAGCTGGGGATTGTTCTAGGTATACTGGTGGTTTTCGATCCGAGGACCTACTCAGGAGTTCCAACTATATGGGACTGTTCTAAATGTCGTGGGCTCACTTATGTGAAAGGTCTAATGATGGGGAAAGTCCAAGGTTGGAAGCAGTGCACTCTATCACAAGATGGCAAAGAGGTGATGATCAAGGTTGTAGCTTAAGCTATTCTAGTGTACTCGATGAATTTATTTAAGTTTCTGGATGTTATCTGTAACAAGTTGGACTCCATGATTTCTGGGTTCTAGTGGGGGTAGAGAAATGGGGAGCGAAAAATTCATTCGGTATCAAAAAATGCGTTTGGCCTTCCAAAGCAGGAAAAGGGTATGAATTTCACGAACTTTAAAACCTTTATTGACGTTCTCCTTGCCAAGCAATGTTGGAGGTTGATCACGGAACCGAATTCATTATGGGCTTCAGTTCTCAAGGCTAGGTACTTCCCACATTGTTTTTTTCTTGATGCACAACGGGGAAGCTGAGCATCATGGGCTTAGACCAGCTTATTAGTGGGAAGAGATATACTGTTGAAGAGGTCGCATTGGTAAATCATGAACCGGCAGAATGTGTAGATCTGGGTTGACAGGTGACTCCCATCCCTCCATTTGGGCCATCCCATTCTAGGTGGTGAGGTGCTGGTCACCAAGGATACTCGGGTGGAGACTTTTATTTGTCTAAGTACTAGAACTTGGGAACTCGACTCCCTTCAACCTTTCTTATCTATGGAGGATCTTAATGCCATCAGTGATATGCATATTGGTAACTCTATGTGTGGAGATAGGTTTATATGGCCAGCGACCAAAAATGGAGGGTGCTCGGTGCTACATCACCCTTCTTCATCCCGAGTTACCCCGAGTCGAGTTTGGAAGTTTATATGGAAGCTTCAAACCTTGGCAAAAATCCATAATTTTTTGTGGAAAACCCTACACAGAGCATTGGCCACGATGGAAAATTTGTATAAACGGCGTTCTGCCCCTAACTCGACATGCTTGATATGCCACAACCAGGAGGAGTCGATCGAACATTTACTCTTATTATGCTTATGAGTGGAGACCATCTGGTTTGGAAGGATCCTTAATCTCAAGATTGACAAGATTGATGTCTCGAATTAGATGAAGTGGTTATACTCATTCTCAAACTAGCATGTTGGTACTAGTGGTAATCATATGTCCTTACTATTGTATGTAGCCTTTACGTGCTGGCATACATAGAAAGGTAGGTGCAACCTTGTGTACAATCAAAGGCAAATCAATCCTACACATGTCCTATGTGCAATCACCAACTTGGCTAGAGCATTTTTTGAAGCAGTCCGAAGGAATGTAGAGCTACCTGAGCTAGTGATGGTGGCTGATCAATCATCTTGGTGGTCCCCTTTTGCCACACCGTATACAAAAATTAATGTTGATGCCAGTTGGTCGGCGCTGACGAGCTTTGGGTTCGTGGGGATTGTTATGCGGGATACTGTGGACTCTTTTGTGGCAGCGATCAGGCATGCCATTCAGGCTCCATGTGTGGGTGCAGTTGAAGTCGTGGCCATCCTCAAAGGTTGTGAGTTTGGTAGGGTGATAGGGCTTCGAAAGGTTATCTTTGAATCTGATTCCTATGATTCCATTTGTTCTCTTTCGAATTTGCTTGAAAATGGCAGATGGGAGGCCTACCCTTCCATAATGAAAGCTAAACAGTTAGGGGAGTCTTTCCAGTACAATACTGTTATTGGTTTTGGACTCAAAGATCAGCCAACATGGCGGCAGACTGGTTGGCGTTGCAGCGGTGTGCGGAGATGTGGTCGTAGCGGTGTGCGGAGATGTGCGATGTTTCCTGGGTCAACAGACCTCATCTTTGTTAGTACATATGCTTCAAAATGATGGTTTACCCTGTCCTCCGTAATGTAATAGGGGCAGTGGAAGGGGCGACACGATAGCTTGGGTATGGCGTCTTCCTTGTAACTCCTTTGCTGTTTGACATATTTATTTTGTTTTGTTGTCTACTTGCCTCGTTGTAGGCTTTCCCTGTTATGTTTGGCATCTTCGCCCAGGTAATGAATTCCACAGTTTCCCAAAAAAAAAAAAAAAGTGTCTTTCTCCATCGGAATTTCAAAAGGAAAAGAACAACATAATCTCCTCCACGTTTTCAGCATTAACAACACATTCTTTGTAGTTACATGGAGGAGC